AACATAATGATTAATTTAAGGCTGATGAAAGAAAATGAATAAATAGTAACAAAGAAGAAAAAAAAAACGACCAAAATGGAAAACACATAGAAACCAGTGTTCAAGAAAGCGCGAGGCGCTAAGCGGGCGGTGACCCAGTGCCTAGCGCCTAGAACGCTTAATCGGGGCCTAGGCGATTTTTTAGGCGGTTTAGACGTTTATAACATAAAACATTATAAATATGATATTATATATAAAAGTTATATAAAATATCTATATAAAACTAAAAAATATGAAATTATAAACAAAAACTAGACAAAACATTTATTTATATTTATATTAAACAATATATAAATATTTATAACTATATATATAAATAAAACTCTAATTAAAATTGAAAAAATACATTAAACAAGATCTATGTAATTTTAGGCGGTCAAGGCGGTTATCTAGGCGTCGCATGAGAGCCTAGCGCCTAGTCGGGGCCTAGGCGACCGCCTAGACCGCTTTTTAGAACACTGATAGAAACATATGTAAATGAAAATTTGAACATAAGGATTAATTTAAAGAAAAAATCATTTATTAAATTTATTTTATAAATTATATTAAAATTAATATTGTATTGCTTTTGCATTTGTGGGGTTACGACTATGAAGGTTTATTGGAATATAAATATATATGCCATGCATATTGTTTAATGTATATGCTGCCAATTATGTTTTCTCATATATGGAGTACAAATTTTGAACAAATAAAGAATCCACAGCACATTAGAAATTCTAGACAAACAACTAGAAATCCACAACACATACAATATGTGGAATATGAAAAAAAAAATCTTACAAATGAAACAATGGCCGAATTAATTTTTCATGACCAGAAGTATTTGATGGTAAAAACGTCGGTGTCTAGATCATGTTAAAAATTTGAACACTCCCTGGCTACAATATGATGGTATGTTGAGTTTCCGTTTGTTAGAGCTAGAAATTGTTTTTTGAATCCAAATTGTCAATCTATATGTTGACAAATAACTGGAAATTATATTTTGGCGGTAGGAGTTAGAAAAAAAAGTTGAAAGAGATTTTTGTTTCACAGCAGATTTGTGGACAACTCGTGGTAGCAGTGACGGATCTAGGAAAACTGTTTGATGGGGTCAAAATAATTTTGTTCAAAAATTATTGAATATTTATCTCACTTTTATATTGTTTCATATAATGGGTTTAATCTTACAATTGAGTTGGGTTCAAATTTATATTTGAGTTGGGTTCA